TTTCACAAAACCGGGGCAACGTCAGGTAGACAAGTTATCCAATACATGTCTTTAATAAATAAATGCTCGAACAATGCTGGGGTTCGTAAGACAATACTTAATAATAGGAAATATTATTCTGAAATTTAACCTTAAATCACATCAGGAAAAAGTAATTCATGTAACAACAATTGCATTCACTGTTGAAATACTTCACAACATCGTTTCATGATTCTTATGACCACCTCATTAGATATTAAAACACTGATGAATTTCCTTTAATATTTCAACAATATACAGATTAAAACAAAATGTTCAGATTAACATTACAGATTGAGTTGACACAAATATATGCATATCGAGTCTCGAACGGTTAAGGAGAATTCGGAAAAGTAGATGTCCTCTTTCTTTCAGTCGAAGCCTCCATTCCTGTTTTGCTGGACCCCCTCCCTGGTTGCCTGGTTACACTACTGTGACATGCGGTATTATTTTAAAATAGTTTCATGAATTATATGAAGTAGAGATACTCCAACTTCATTATCCATTGTATTGCTATAGGTTTTTAATTTATTTGGAAAGGTTCTTTGTGATAGTTTATAATGCTTTATTCATATTAAAATATCACTAAAATAAATTTTTAAGGACACAATTTCTATGAACATAGTTTCATATACATTTCTTCGTTTTTTGTAATATGATTGCTATTTTCTTTTCCTGTCGTGCACATATAATGTATTCCGAATCCAAATATTCGAAACATTATTAATAGTAATAAACAAGAATTTGTATTTTGAATTTTTTACAAAAATAGTAACTTATATTATGTTTACAAGGTGCAACACATATTTTAATACTCCAGAAAGTAGTCTTATTACGAAGTCACAGATTTCAGGATTACGAAGTCACAGATTTCAGGATGACGTAATCTTCTTGTATCTTTTTTTAATATCACGAGACCATATCTAAAATCTTTAATATGGTTGCGGAGAATATTTTCATTACTCGGGCGAACCACACCTGACTGAACGGAACTATGCGTGCTATCAGGCCGTGCCACGTATAAGGCAGTGAGACTCATTAACATGAATTTCAATTTCCGAATTTACTAGAAAAATATTTCTTTAATCTAAACACTATTTTTACATTAAGGGGGTGTAGACCCCAGCAGGGCGCGAGCGCTTTGCGCTCAATGGTCTCTCCCGACGTGGATACAAGGGCTCTAATAACCTTTCAAAATAAATGGCCGTATCAGACCCGCGAGCTGCCAGTTGGACAACCCTGTTCTAGGCAATGTAGGGTCTCTAATACGTATCACTTTCGTCAATGAACACATGGTGGGAAATTTTATTTAACGAATGACATTTATCTCTGATTGGTAGACAAACCATCATGCGTTGGTGTTCCGCAGGGTACGTCATGGCGCATAATTTCATATTCCACAACTTGATGGGTTGTATGCCAATAAGGGGAAAATGACAGTGCAATTTCATTATATGAAATTTAATACCATACTGTCATTTGCAAAAATGTATTAAATAACACCCACAATATGCCCTCAAAGTTTGTAATAATAATTTTGAGTTACACATATTTCGGGAATAAATATCGTTTTGTGTAATTGAAAAACCCCGCCCTTTATTGTTTTGGGAAGAAAGTCACGTGTTGAATGCAGAATTTTCTCTGATGATTTTGCTGTTCTTGTATTACGATGTGAAGGCTAATTTTAGAGAAGGTGTCTTCAAGGAATTTGGAAGCAGTTCGGTTAATTTCGTTGAAGCAGTGTGGCAACCGTCTCCGCATTTTAACACACCGTCTAAACTAGGCCAACAACGACTCCTGAAATCGAGCCAAGAGCTGCAAATGTGTCCACGAGCTTATCGCAGTCTGAATGCGGAGACCACACATTGTTAAGACCCATGACCATTTGGTTTCTTGGCATTATCATGGCCACATAAACGCAACATACGTTTTTGCAACCCTTTTCCAGAAGTGACATTATATATTTCTTCCAAAAATCCTTACTCAGTTTAAGAGCAAGGAGGTAAATACTGATTGTTAACATCAAACCTTATTTATTATCGCGTTTCCATTTAAAGTAGATATGAAAAAGTGGCGAAGAGTGACTTTTTTGCATAGGCATCACAAGATGTATCTAATATTCGGCGTATGTTTTTGAAGAAACTAGATGGGGTATCCGAAATATTTGCCGATGATGATCTGTCTTAAGTAATCAAATAACACTCGATATCTTATTTCTTCACAACAGTTTCAATAAATTTTCTGAACATCTTAATCTTATATTCTTGAAATTGATATAGAATTCTTCGGTTCGTTTCTATTGTGACCACGGACGTAACATGAAGTTTAAATTGAGGTGGGGCTAACACTAAAATTAATTAGTTTGCAATCAAATTACCAAGAAATATCTTGCTTTTTCGTGATCTTTAGCTGATTTTGCAAGGGCACTTAAATGCAAAATCCTGCTGAAACCCAAACATATTTACTGACTTTTGTTGACCTTGACGTATTTTCGGTATTCAAGCTTCTTCCACAGAGACACTTGTAAGCTTAATAACTAGACACCATAAAGTGCCTAGTGCAAATTTTGCTTCTTTTTGTAACTTTAGTAAACTAATGTAATATCGAAGGACTGGGATGGGCATTTCGTACCGTCAAAAGCTTCTCATCGAATTTATGTTATTCAAATGTTTTTTGTTTCAACAGAACTACGATATCTTCTTAAATTTTCCCCCATAATACATGGCAAATATTATAAACTTAATGTCACCAAAAAATCAGGGCGCTCTCAAAATTACCACACCTTCTCAAGTTCACATTGAGAGTTTGTTTTAAATACTTAACCTGTTCTTAAAAATGCAATTTCACAAATAATTCAATGTACTTCAGCAACACCTACTGGAAAGCAAAACTGCATTGATTTCACGGGTGTGGGCGTTAGTTCCAGACGGCGTTGACATCAGTTATCCGCAGTTTTAGTTTACGTTCATCAGGCTCCTTAGCTGCATGCGCGCGCATTCTGAACTAGCCAAAAAAACTAGCTGAGCTGCGCTACTGTATCATTCTATCCCACTGTTCAGAGACGTGCAGAATCTCCAACTGTATGCGAAATTTAGCTAATTACTTGATATTATTAGCGATTAAATTGCACGGGTGTACCTCTCCGTCCTGTAATGAAGTAAAATAATATTACAATGAGTAGGGTTGAACTGGCCAGATCTTTCATTTTCGCATGGACTAATTTACGTAGTTTTCTCACAGGCAAAACGTTCTTAATGTTTTTCAATCAATGTCCATCAAGGAGAGCGAAAAGCTGTCAAGGACGATGGTATAATTACTTCAAATGTTTTAAAGAAGTGTAATTTGACGGCGTATTATGTATAATACTGAACAAACTTTTATTAAAAATTTGTTTCAAACATGAATTGCATATTATTTTTATTTTCATTTGATATTTTGTATGTACATTAGACGTTCCCATTATGCATTTAAACAAATAAACACGTTTCGGCAACCAATTTTTCCTTAATATGGAAATGGAAAGATAGGGAAGAGGGTGGAATTTAACATGCGAGAGTTCTCGCACGGGTACGCTAGTTATACACCGATTATCCAATACTTTTCTAAACTTTTTAACACTATTTTTATGACATTGCTTGGTCATCATGGGAATGACAGAGAGTCGAAGGTGAAAACTTCTGCCTCGGAAAATGCGTTGGATAATTTCATAAATTCTGATGGACTCTGCACTTGGTCGGTAGTCAACGCATCATGCACTAGTGTTCGATGTTTTGAATATTTCAAATCCTTCGTATATAAAGGAGCGATTAAAAATTATATCAGTATAAAAGGACTTTGTAGGTTAATAATCAAACATGCTTCGGGACAGAAGAAATGACACGGCAGAAAGGTTTCCCGATAGTGTTTTAAGTCCGTAAATTCAGACAAGTTATATTAGGTCACGTATTGTTAATTATTTTACAGAAATGGTTCTGTTAAACCCCTCAAGGCTTGTACTTAAACCACTGAGAGTAAAGTAATTTTAATTTTTTTTCGAGATTTTATGATCAAATAGATTTGACCAATAGATTAATTATTCACGTCCCAGAAAAAAAACAGAACTCGGCCAGGAGTGGAAGGTAAAGAGTTGCAACGTGATTCGCACAGGGGTATTAGGAGAACTTCACTATCTCAGAGCACACGATTTTACATTCATGCTCATGGCCGGAAGCGAATCGCGACCCTTCAAGCCGAGACGAACAAGACGCACCCGCCTCCACCATTGTGCCTCCCAGAATAGGCTAAATTGATTGATTGATTGATTGATTTTCTTTTTTGTTGGTGCGTCAAATGCTGTGACCACGGATCAAGCAGTACAGTGTAGTGCATGTTTCATCTCAGGAATAAAACGCTGGAGATCTAGTGCCGACCTATACGCCATATTGGGTTTTCGGCAACCTGGCTGGGTTGCGTTTTGGTTCGATCAGGGAGGATTGGGTTAGGTTGGGGGTAGGTGGATGGTTTTCCTCAACACTCATTCCAATAATATACGAGTAGTTTGATAAGCATTAGTAGCGATAGCAAAGACTACCTCGCATTAGCGGGGCGTAGCCCCTTTTGGGACAAGCTCTAAGCTCCCGGTCTCGCGGCATAAGTGATAGTGTAGTAAATGTAAATGTAATTGTGTAAGTAAGAGGTAAGCGTAGGGCAAGGAAGAAGGAGAGATCTAGCGCGAACCGTGGCCCGTTTGTTCGAGCACTGCTTCGGCACTCCACTGGTGTTGATTGGAGAAACGACAGAAAATTACAACATCCGACCGCTAGATTCCGCCTGCAGACAGCGGAGGGGCTGAATTAGACGTATCAGTGTGGAAAACCCTGCCGCCGCGGGACCTAGTACCTTAGGCCAGGGGCACCTACCGACAGGATGGACTTCTTGAGGCCGGTCTTCTCGACGAGCGAGCGGCGGCGCGCCGGGGGCTCGTCGGAGCGCGCCTTGAGCACGAAGCCGCCGCGCGCGTCGTCCACGCGCCGGTCGCGCTCCGCCGTGGGGTCGCCGCCCTGCCCGTCCTGGCTGCGCAGCGACGCCATCGATGCGCGCACCCCCTTGTCCGGGCGCGTGTGCGACGCCAGGCCGAAGGGCGCCGACGCGCGCACGCCGTACCCGTGCCGCATGCCGCGCAGCCACTGGCCCTGGTACGTGCCTGCACACACCCACACACGCCTTCCCTTTAGAATGCAATACACGAATATACCACATGACACAAGAGGCAAGAAACCGTAACAGCAAGAATCATAAACAAAAAATCTGATGGCCGAGATCGTTAGGGCAGCACTGCCGTTGCGATCTCGGGTTCGAGTCCCGCCATTGCGTATGGTTGTATTTGTGTTTCTTTCACCCCTCACCATCACCATCACCATATCCCATCATATTGTTAACCCTGTCATTAATCTATAGTGGTTGCTAATGACATAGCTGTTATTACAAGAACTAATGGAAAGTGAAGACCTAAAACACAATATTCCGATTTACACAGTGGCACTAGAAGGTCACGAGCCAAATGGTGAGGGCATTGTCGCCACATCGGGAGCTGAAATACCAAAAATTTAAGTCGTACGGTAGCTCCCGGTTGGATGTCAGTGTCCCCCTCTATGTCCAGCCCGTGACCTTGAAATGCCACTTTGTTTAAATCGGAGTATACAACTGCCCCAGTTTGGCATATTCATCAATGGTGATTTATTTTCGTTATTTGATCTAAATTTAACGTGTAAGATAGAGTAATTTAAAACGGACACACCAAATACTCCGTACTTGTAATGTTGATGGATCAACCTTTTCGTAACAAGAATATTAAATAAATACGGCATTAGATGAGTATAATCTTGGTATATCGTAAATTTTAATTTACAAGTTTTTAATTAATAACCATGTTTATGACCTATCATTATACAACGTCCGCTTTGTATCTATCCACTAGTGTTGCTACCATGCGGAGATGGGACAAAGGCACAACTAAATGGCCAAGGGACAAACTATTTTCAACCATGAAAAAAAAGTGTCGGGTATAGTGTAATCCAGCGCAATTAAAAATTGCGATACCAACATCTATAATTAACTATTATCGTTGTATAATATCTCATATCGTAAAGGTTTTTTCACAAATTATGTAGAGTACCCTAGATACTCAGTATTTTTTCGCTGTAACGGTTGTTTTGTAAAGCCTGAGGCAAAAAGTACAATATTTTTCGCCCGTTTTTTAAATTGTTTTGTATGCATCAGTCTTCACATATCTTTCTTAGAAATTTCATTAAATACTTAAGTATCCTTTTCAGTAAGTCACATAGAAATTGTATTCTACTAAAGAATTTTATAATAATATTTGAACTTAAAGACTCGACTACATAGGATCAGCATCAATTAACAATTTCAAAATACGGGGATAATTACTTTGGAAAAATCTAAAAAGAATCTATAGGTTGTGCGTTGTCAAAACTCTCCAAACGTTGCAAGATGCTAGCGGCAATATCCTGCAGTAGTACGTGGGATTTTCCCATAGGAACGCGATTCTGAGTTACGAGATGCAAAAGGACAGGGCTATAGATATTTCACGGAAGTTTTCATTATCTGACAGGTTATCGACATTCCATTACCAGATAAAATAAGAGCTGCCTGTCGCTTGTAGAGACTGCAGAGAATGCAGTTCCGCTTCTGTGCTTGCCTGTATGTCACTTGCTTACTCTCAATTGTGCAAAGTGTCAGGTGATTTTGAGCCCCAATTTTCTGCAGTCAGGGCACAAGAAAAGTACGCTGTTTTGCTGAACGTATAGTCAAATTAAAATCTCATCAATGACGTTGAATATCTGCAATTGTTTTAACGGATGGATATATACCTTTGGAAAACAATTTGCATACCATGAAGGCTCCCCCTACATCGGCAGAACTCTTTCACTCCCAGAACGAAAGTCAAAAATGGCTCTTGTTGTGGCATTAAAAATCTCAATGTGAAGCTTGCGCGACATCACGCATGGAAGCGTAGCGAATTTTAACCTCCATAGGGTTACTTCAACGAGTCCATCTCCTGACAGAAGCCTTCGATTAAACAATAACATCGGAGTAAGATGGAGTTTCTGCTAGTAGAACAAAAAAGCGAAGCATACGTTGTGGTTGCGTTGGATTCCGCGCCGCCTCACTGACATGGTGGCTAACGTTTCGAAATGTTCGTTCACGAGATGAACTTAAGGGTGACAGTCATTGTAGAATTTCATTCTTTCATTCTTCAGCTATTAAAATGTTAGAATTTATTTTATATGAATTATAAACTTAAAAACTAGTTTAAATTTGTTTACATTATTCAGATTAGCAAAAAATACACTTCTTTTACATATAGTGCGGTTCCTTCTCTTATATTTTAGGTTTCGTATGCCATATCAGTCACACACAAAGTCACGAAAGCGATTCTTTGGGGACGAAAAACGCTGTCAGCGTGAAAAATAAATTGCTGTACAATCGCAGTCGCTGCGACAGACTGTCATGCCGGTCCCAACAAGACGCCACGTCATCCTACTGACAGCGACATCGCAGCGGCAACAAAATAACAGCAACAGCGAAAAGTCCTACACCTTCCACCCTCTTTCTCTGCGACCTTCTCTGCTACCAGGTACCATTTGCACAACAGCAATAAGTAGCATCTCAGGGCAAACTGTACTTGTGTGAAAAATATGTAGAAATTGACTTATGCGATAAGTGTCCAAATAACAATTAATATAACACGTCTTAAGAACCTATACTAAAATTTAACCGTGAAAACAGTATAATGTTTTGTCATTTTTTCACAGTAAGTATGCTACATACTTGTATTTGTTACCACCTTTTCTATATTTCATAAGTATGCTTATGCTTATGCTTATGGATTATCTTTCATATACAAATGTACTTAGAGAGAGACAGAAAGAGAAAGAGAGCGAGAGAGATAGACAGAAAGAAAAAGAAAGAGAAAGAGAAAGAGAGAGAGAGATAGACAGAAAGAAAAAGAAAGAGAAAGAGAAAGAGAAAGAGAAAGAGAGAGACAGAAAGAAAAAGAAAGAGAAAGAGAGAGAGAGAGACAGAAAGAAAAAGAAAGAGAAAGAGAAAGAGAGAGAGAGACAGAAAGAAAAAGAAAGAGAAAGAGAAAGAGAGAGAGAGAGACAGAAAGAAAAAGAAAGAGAAAGAGAAAGAGAGAGAGACAGAAAGAAAAAGAAAGAGAAAAAGAAAGAGACAGAAAGAAAAAGAAAGAGAAAAAGAGAGAGACAGAAAGAAAAAGAAAGAGAAAAAGAGACAGAAAGAAAAAGAAAGAGAAAAGAGAGAGACAGAAAGAAAAAGAAAGAGAAAAAGAGAGATACAGAAAGAAAAAGAAAGAGAAAATAGACAGAAAGAAAAAGAAAGAGAAAAGAAAGAGACAGAAAGAAAAAGAAAGAGAAAAGAAAGAGACAGAAAGAAAAAGAAAGAGAAAAGAGAGAGACAGAAAGAAAAAGAAAGAGAAAAGAGAGAGACAGAAAGAAAAAGAAAGAGAAAAAGAGAGAGACAGAAAGAAAAAGAAAGAGAAAAAGAGAGAGATAGAAAGAAAAAGAGAAAGACAGAAAGGGAAAGCGAAAAAGAGAGAGAGACATAATGTTCCCTAAACGTTGTGTTTTGCCAATTTTACCCATGTTTTAAAATAAGTTTTGTCTTTTTAACAAATTTCCAACATTTAAAAATATACAATGACTTGTTATTTCTAAGCCATTACAAAATAAGATCATTAATAAAACATGAGACAGTACCAATATTGCTCAATAACAGTCGTCAACGACGTCCACAAGAGTTGTCTTTATTATAATAGTTGTCAATGACGTCCAGGAAATGAACATGGAATTTCTTTCTCAGTATGACTAAGGTGTGCTACGCACATATTGTCAAATATCGTGTTGTTGAGTTCTAAGCATATTATTTGAATAACTTTGAAGGGACGTTTAAGAAAATATACTTTGGAACGGAGAGTTTTGTATCGAGTGTGAAGTTCCATTCAGACTTCAGCAAGGCTCACATGCTCTACACAATTCCCGAATATATTATCAAACATTATTTTACAATCTATTATCAAATTAAAATATACAATGTATTATGAACTAGAACGAAGTATTTAAGTTGTTAATATTTTTAACGACCACTCGAAAAGTATTGCTAAGTGACAGTTTTGTATCTCTCAAAAATGTCTTGTGTTCACCTTGATTTCATTTAATTTATTTGGTCAAAAACTGTAAAAATCTGTATGTGACGTACGGGGAAGAAGTCTAATGTGAGCACGTTTTATTGAGTTCCAGAATCCCTATTCCACCCTTTTATCAAAATTACTTGAAAGATGAATAAAATTTCCAACAAGGTGCGATTCGAAAGATTTGAACATAAGACATTTTTACTATCCTATAGTACCCGAGTAATACTTATTTACATATTCAAACGAACTGTTTTCATTTTTCAGTATTACTAACAATATCATGATCCCTTGGCTCCACTCTTACCACAACTAGAGAAAAAACGACAAAATGCGCTCATAGTGAACCCATATTTAATCGCCATTAATAAAGACATAATAATAATAATAATAATAATAATAATAATAATAATAATAATAATGTAAAATACAGAAGCATTACAATGCGCCATCTCAACATTTACTCAATGGATCGAGGATTCTGTACGAAAGCTGATGGAGGTGGAGATCATTGACTCAGGAACTGAAGTTCATTACTTGAACATTACCTTAAATGTGGTGTTTGCACCGTCTTTACGCATCGAGATATATGCATTGTATTAGAGACCTTTAGATAGTTACGTAAAGAAAGGTGATATATTATTGTATCAGTGGATTGGTTAACAGATTCAATAGATTAATACTGAATGTAAGTTTAAGACTATCAAGAAAAATGTTGCAGATATAGTAGAAAAGCAAATGAAAGAGACATGCCTAAAAATTTAAGATTGAGGTGAGATTAGCTGTAACCAGAGTTCATGTGTGTGTAAATAAATATCGCGTATGTTTTTTATTACATTGATTACGAACCTTGTCTCACAAGTAAATTAAGACAATTATTGGCAAATGTATTTCACAAAACCTTGCCCACGTTTTAGAACGCTGCGTACAAGGAGGAATGCATATGCGCAGCCAAGTTAAACGAAATGCTACCA